CCAATGGTAAGATTTAACAGCATTACTGGTAATACTTCAGTACACTTGGGGCAAGTACCTGTAAAGAATGGACACATTCCAAGCAGGAATGTGGCAACAGCATTACTGGTAATACTTCAGTACTTTGTCAACAGTAAAGCAGTACTGTGCCAAATGTTAGATCAGTAGTATATACTGGGGGCAAGCAGGTGCAAAGAACGGACACATTCCAAGCAGGAATGTGGCTGGCCCCATGCACTGATCTCAACAGCATTACTCGTAATACTTTAGTAGTATTACTACTACAATGTGAAAACAAGAAGTAGTACMAGAAAAAGAAGCACTAGTACCTGTTGCAATTTCAGTACTAGAAATACTACTGCTTCACTAATATTACTACTACTTCTGAAACTATTTCTATTTGTCACATAGTTATAGTACTACAATTACTAATGGAAAATCCAATGCATATACTAGATATTTAAACAAAGTAATTAAATGTTATTGTGATTCTTTTTTAATTCTAGCTTGCTCTGAATACACAGTCAAGCAAATTTCTGCATCTGGCTGAAGGTCACATTCTTTGGCCTGGTAGTCATCAAGAGCAAACTTTCTAGATGAACTGTGGTTGCAACCACCACCAGGTACTCTACTCTTACCTTGTTGTCGATCCCCAAGACCTTGTATTACTACACCTTCATTCTGCACCACAGTTTTCATTGACCTCAGTACTTTTTCAATATCCTTTTTGATCTTTTCTGACTTGGGAGCAACTTCCCATACTCTTTTGTATGCAGAGGCAACACCTTTTGGAGTTGCCAGTGTAAACTGTTTATCCTTTTCAGGGTGGTTCCTTGTCAGAGTGACATGTTTGGTAACAGCTGAGTGGAGTTGACTGAAAAGACTAGTATCCACCAAAGGCATGGCTTCAGGTCAGTTACCCACAGGTCTTCCTTGGTAGGCTTTCAGTTCACCACCAATCCCGCCAATGCTACCCATTAGATTGTTCTCTGGCAAAATCCAATTGTTGTAATAGTAGTTCTTTTCAATCATGTATTGCACTGAATCAGCAGATGTCATGAAGCAAAGAGCATTGTGATAGACCATGGCATCAGGACCAAGATGGCATCTAGCCTCAATGAAAATTTAATCAATAAGATCAGTTACACATATTTTCCCTACCATTGCTACCTTGTCAATCTCTGCTTCCCACCTGTCTGGACCATATACTAGACTCAAGARCGGATTTTCTGCTTCTAAAATATGCCTAGACAAAAACTTTGACAAAAAAAACAGACACTGCAACATGTTGAATGGTCATGATGACATCATGGCTGACTTCCTCTTTTGCATCTTTACATTAGGATTCTACACATATCGGTATGTATGGGGGTTACACGTGATCTAAATTTCGACTAATCCAAAATGGTGTGATCTTTTCCAACCGGCCGGTACCTACCTACCTACCTATATACCTACCTACCTACCTACATACATACATACCTACATATATACCTCATATATACCTACATACATAGCCACATAATAAAAAAAGTCACATGCACCGCGCCACAAAATAAAAAAAGGCAAATGGCCCGCGCCAGAAAATTCATACAGTGGATCTTTGTATAATCAGTACTGGATGATTTACTGTTTACTGTTCTTACTGACAGGATAAAGGTGCGAGAAAACGCGATTTGTTTTCAGCAGTGTTACGGTATGGGAGTGTTACTGTAATGAGTCACTTTTGCAAACTGTGTCACCACCATCACATAAGTTGCGATTCTTGAATTTAATAATAAACATCACCTTCTGGTTCAGAACTGCCAATACTCTCTGCAGGTTCCCAAGTTAACTGTACGAGTAGCCTGATCAACTACTTTGACTACAACCAACGGGGAGAAAATCTGCTTAGACTTGGTCCCTACGTACCAAGGTGAAGGTTATTACTAAAGCAAGAAGAGCAACACAAGTCTCCATCTCCATCGAGCAATTTACAGTCCTTCATCTCCATCTCCATCGAGCGAGCGATTTACATCCCTTCATTTCCTTCGAGCGATTTACATCCCTCCATCTCCATCGAAAGATTTACATCCCTCCATCTCCATCGAGAGATTTACATCCCCTTTATCTTCATCCTTCATCTCCAGTGACAAGCGATCGATCGATCGATTAAGATTTACATCATCTCCAGTGACGAGCAAGCGATAACGATTCAGATTTACATCCCCTTCATCTTCATCCTTCATCTCCAGTGAC